CTACCATGCATCCAAGGCATGTTCACAGGGAGGGATGCATGCTCAAAACGTTGCTTGTTACATGAGAAATCACTAGGTCAACTCTTATTTTCAGGTATTTGACCTGTCATATCAAATTTGCCAATAAACACTTCTGCTTAAGGCAACTACAAAAGACCAAAAAAGTCACTCTCTGATAACTGCTCCAGTCCTATGGGTAGTTGTGTGAGCTTAGGATATTTTCTACTGCAGATCAGCATGCACTTTCAAAGTGAAGTTTTCTTATTAATGGCACACATTTGCAATAAAATACCTCCTTACCTAAACAGATGCTTGTACCTACAGGTATCACTCTCTAAAAACAGCAACTTAAATTCAGTAACATAAAAGCACTATGAACAACTTGTTTAAAAAATTTCAGCGGGCATGGTGGTACATGCCTGTAATCCTATCACTCAGGAGGTTGAAGCAAAAGGATTTCAAATTCAAAGCCAGCCTAGGCTACATTATGAGACTGTCTCAAAAAAAAAAAAAAAAAAAAAAAACTTTTCCAATGTGACCTGGATCACAGGATTAAAATATACCATGCAGTTGCAAGTAGAGACTTTATACCTTACCAAAACGAACAACTTAACTGACTAATCAAAGTTTAACTATGCCTGCTTGAATTTATGTCCTTATGAATAACAAATCTTACGTTGACACAGTTTCCATGAGCTATGCACATGCTCCACCACTGAGCTACATCTCCAGCCCAGAGAGCTTTATTTTAACACATGAATGTGACAGAAAGATGTTGGAGGGCTCTCCATGTCAGTACACATGTATCCACCTCATTCTGCTTAATGGCTACACACTAGATCTATCCTATTTTACATAACCACTTTCCGCCTGAGATCTGTCTAACTCTTTACAATGACAATGCCATGCTCCAATTCAACTTATAGACATCGACCTGATGTTTACATAAAAAAACTCAGTATTATAATTAGTTACATTCCATGTAAGATTCCTTTTTAAAATGTATTGATAGCATTTTCTGCAATCCTAAGAACACAAAAATTGTAATAGATGTGTTTTAATTGTATTACATCTTTTTTCCTATTTATAAAATGCTGGGTCAGCTTGGCATATTTTTTCATTAGATAGTTTCAGTATTTCAGGACCTTAGACACCTCTTAGTGATACGTGTTCACAGTAACAAGTGTTCATTCTCTAAATTTAACATTTTTACAGCACAGTGGTAAAGCACATGCTTAGCATGCATGAGGCCCTAGATTCAGCCCCCAGCACCAGGGAAAAATGCTGGGTCAAATCTCCTCTCCTTTGCTGTAACCCTATGTGGCCACTAGAAGGAGCTCTAGGACATTTGCCTGGCACATTTAACCTTCTGGTGCTCACATGCCGTTGGCTAATTCTAATCATCCACTCTGAGCCTTCTGAGTCCATCTCTCATATCTCTTCCATTTCTCTCTGATCACTGACATCAGACTACAGTTCTTCATCATCCTGCCAGGTCAGCCCCTTTGGGTCCACTGTGCTGTCATTCCCAAGTCCATCCCTGCATTAAACTAAAGAGACCCATGCAGAACTCTTCAACCCGTATCAGTCTACTTCCACGTAAGCCCTTCTAAGTACTGACCATCCTGAGAATTCCTCGCTTACCTAACTTCCAAGTGTCTCCCATATATTATTTCAGAGTCTGGAATACACACAATTCTCAAATCCCATCTCTTTCTCCCCAGCTTCTTTCTCATTTCTGGTAGATATGCACTATAGAATTGAAGCCACCTTCTTCAACACTTAATTCTTTCTTAGAAGCTCAAAAAGAGAGACATATTCCACGAACTACCCTCCAAAGCTAGCCTCTCCTTGTAACACACACACACATTTTTGAGGGGCAGTACTGGAGTTTGAACTCAGGATCTCAAGCTTGCTAGGTAAGCATTCTACCACTTGAGCCACACCCCCAGTCCTTTTTGAATTGTTTATTTTTGAGATAGGGTCTCACTTTATGCCCAGACTAGCCTGGAGTACAATCCTATTTGTGCTTCCCCATGTAGCTGGGGTAATAAGAATGCACCATCATGCCCAACCATAGGTTAGGAAAGAAAACATGACTGACCTTTTTCTACTTTTGTATACTGTCCAAGCAACCCACTCCCTTGGAACTCTTTCACCCTAACCACTGTCCTTTGCTCTCTTTTTCTGGTACTTCTATTTCTTCCTTCAACCCCAACAGTCATTCTCAACCCACTTCTCCCTCCACTCACTGATGGGAAAAAAGATGATTAAACTCTCTTTGTACCCTAGTCGCTATCAGTCACCATTTCTCAAGGCTGGCATCCTGCCCCCATTCAGGCATGGAAATTCCTGGTCTAGCACAGATAACCCAAACCCAGAGCTGTCGGGTCTCTGAATTTCGGCTTGTGGCCTATGATACGGCATTAACAGGGAGGTGAGCCACCACCTACAGCTACTGTATAAGCATTAGTTTCCTTTCCTCTGACCAGACAGCAATTCCTTGAAGACAACTCCCTTGTTTTACTCATCTCTCCAAAGGGCAGTGTGCCAAACATGAAGCCATCACTTCATAATATCTTCTAATACTTTCTAGGTACCTGAAATATATAGTCAAAAATTTCCAAATGGCAGAAAAAAAACACTATTTGCAGGATACTAAAAAGAAAGCACATCCATAAATGAGGTAAGTGAAGAATGGTTTCTAATGAAAGGTTTAAGAAATACTAGGTTAAACAAAGTTAGCAAGTTTACTTTCAGAGCTTTCTAGAATCTTTAATCTTGCTAACAGTCAGTTTCCAAGAGCAAATCTCCCAAGCTGCTGTGCTACAAAACCACTTTCCCACTCTCTCCTGCACTACTAGCATCTATTAACTTCTCCCTTTCCAAGTAACATGATAGAGGGAAAATGCCATTAATTATCCCTCACAACTTTATATCCAGCATGATTTCTAAGGGTATGTTAATAGTACTGGTTTTATGGCTCATCCTAGCAGCCAGTGTCAGCATCCTTCAATTATTTCCAAGGCTATTGGTATAATTACAAAAATATATATATTAAGGATTCATTTCAGGATATTTTTTGGTTTTTTCTTTTAAATTTGGGAGGGATGGTACTGGGGTTTGCACTCAGGGCCTTGAGTGTGCTAGACAGGTACTCTAGCATATACTTGAGCCACAGCACTATTTTCTTAGTTATTTTTTTTAGGTAGTCTCACATTTTTGCCCAGGCTGGCCTCAAACAGAGATTCTCCTACCTATGTCTCCCATGTAGCTGGGATTACAGATATGAACCACCATGCCCCATCTGTTTGTTGAGATGGGTTTCACTAGCTTTTTGCCACTCCCCTAAGGCTTTTGAATTAAATCCTCATTTATAAAATTCTGTTTATATACACCATCAGATCAGAAGTGTGTAACTAACATTTAAAAACCAAAAAGCTATGAAAAGCTAGGGGTAGTTTAAGTGACCTGATGCCTGACACTTCAGCAAAATCAAAAGTAATACAGGGGCTGGAAGTGAGACTCAAGTGGTAGAGTGCCTAACCTGGTAAGCTCAAGGACCTGAGTTCAAAACCCAAATGCTAAAACAACAAAAAAAACCCTACAGGTAATACAAATAAAAATGACAAAGTGGTGTTTCAGGAATCAAGACTAAGCCCGTAATTCAAGCTCCTCAGTACTGAAGCAGAAGAATCAGAAGTTCCAGGCCAACCTAGGTAACTTAGCAAAACTACACAAAATAAATAAAAAGGGCTGGAGATTAGCTCAGTAGCAGAGAGCCTGCCTAGTACAAAACCCTGATACAATGGAATCAAGGGGAAAAAAAATGGAACCAAGAATAAAAAAAAGATAAAATAATTTGGAAAATAGGCACCCTACTCCTCTCTGGGAAATCCACAATATTTATTATTAATTTAATGTGTTAATATGTTGCTTCCAGAGTTGCTTCCCTTAGAATCTTTTTAAGTGCCCAACACCAGTTAGTAAACATTTTAACAGTTTTGTTAGCATATCTGATTGAAACACTCATCACAGAATGAGAGTCCTCACTAATCTGCTTCAATATTTTACAATGTTGTAACAAAATAACCTTTTAGAGAAACTTGATAGGCAATGAGTAATGGAAGGGAAATTTCTAAATGTTCCCATCTACTCTCATTTCCACTCAATTTTTTGGCCTAGAAATTTTATTTCAGTGATTACGATGGCTGACACCTGTAATACTAAGGCAGGACTGAGATTTTCAAGGCCAGCCTGGGCTACATGGGCAGACCCTGCTTCAAAATAACAAAACAAAACAAAACAAAACAAAACCCCAAAAATCAAATCAAGACAAATGCTCATCTTAACTTTCAAATTTTACATTTCAGAGGAAATAAACTGTGGACACTATTCTGAAATTATGCAAAACTCTTGGTCTGGGTCAAAAGGAGGAGCTTCAAAAATACGTCACTGAATATCTCACTTATCTTTATAGTCAGTCTGTTTCTTCAGCAGTAAAACTCTGTTTAATGGATGTAATACTATATGGGCTATGTGAAAACTGCCAACATTTAGACTCCACCTAAAAGTCTTCCTTATCTGAGCCTTTCTAAACCGGATCTGATTTCTTTTGTGTTTGAGTTCTTCAACACCCTTTTTCTCCAGGAGTAAGATGAGAAAATAACCTGCAACCTGAATATCAGGTACTTGACTATGCACACAACTAATCATTCAAATACAGTTAATTACTGAATG